ATATTTCAGTTATGTTTGTAATATAATCATTTGGAGTCCAATATTCTACTTATTATGTCTTATTCATAGAGATATTCTTACATACAAGCTGAGATTCAATAAATGTTGTTCTTTTTTAATATTCAAATTTTATTGGTTTATTTAATGAAATAATAGTAGTTATAATGTCTTTTCTATTTTGATTTTTAAACATTTACAGATTACTGAGAATTTCAACTTTTGATCTTATGGGATATTCACGATAGGCTTATATTGGGTTATCTAGAAAGTTACTAGTTTTTTAAAGATAAATTTAAAGTAGTTTATGTAATATAAACCTTTAATGCTAGTCAATATACAACGATGATGGTATCATTTCACCATTATTATCAATTATTTTTAGCTATCTATTTTCTAGTGTTCTCACTTAATATGGAAGCAAATTAATACTAATGGAAAAATCTTTCAGATTATAAATGAAGATATATTTATAAGCTAAAGATTTTTGTTGTTGTTGTTACCATTACGATTCTTTAAAGGAAATTATCAATAATAACAATACTTTTATTCATTTTTTCATGTAAAAGTTTAATTTTCAAATTAACTATAAATAAATGAAAACTGATTTGAATTTAGATGAATATTCAGAGTAGAAGAAAACTAGTTTAAAATTTATAATCAACTTATTCTTGGCTATGTATTCTGTTAATCGATATCTCAAAAATAAAATAATTTTTTAACAGTTAATTCTTTAACAAAAATCAGTAAAAAAGAAAAATTGGAAAATATTGGGACTAAGTGGCTAATTTCTTTGACATTAAGATGAAATCTTTCAAAATCATCAGATTATTCATCTTAACAAAATATCCTTACCGGTAAACATAATAAAAGTATGACGAAAACATTTGCTGTGATATTGTTTTTATCATGCGATATTTAATACTTCCTTCTTATTTAATTATTTTGCGGATGAAAATTATCTAGGCCTGCATGAATACTGACATAATTAACACAAAGTTTTAAAAGTTTCGGATGCTTGTCTCACTAAGGACACAAATTAAAAATTAATTTTTCGAATATAAGGTTAATGAATATATATATTATTTTAAAATATAACAATTTTTTTATATCAACTTTATTTAACAGAATATTTAAATTAAGCAAAATCCTGCACTTCTAAACTCAATATTTACTTTTTGAATCAATAATATTCAGTTTTTACATATTTTCATTTTTTTTTCGTATTTCAATCTAAATATTAATTACTGTATGTGTCAAATAAGCAATTTCAGAACTTATAAGCCGGCAATTTTATTATGGGGAGCAAATTAACATTAAAAAAAATTATATTTATAAAAACAACTTGTAATAAAGTAATGTATCTATATATATTAAAAATTGATATAAAATCTACTGTTACAAAAATATATCTATTTATAATAAGCTTTGAATTATAAGAAAATTCTGGGTATTAATGATGATAGGTAAACAACCTATCATCATTAATTCTTTCATCAAATACTTGGGACAATATTTTACAAAAAGAAAACGTAAAAATGCTCGTTTCAAGATACAATAGATGAAAGAACACCAAAAAAAAACTGGGCAAGTGATAATTAGGAGACATTTTGTTACACCGGCGCGCAAGACTAACCATGCAACGAACATCAGCACTTCGCTTAAATAAATTGGCAATTAATATAAAGCATTTGAAAGTAAAAAAATTGTAAACCATCTATTTTATAGATTCTATCAAACTTTGCCTAATTCATTTATCGAAATAAATCGAAATTTACTACTGCTAAAAAATAATAAACCAGTTAGTTTTTCATAATAAAAAAAGAATATTAATAACAAAATGAACAACTTCTTCAGTTCGGTAATTAAACCATATAAAGAAAAACTGTTATTAAATTCTAAATAAAATTATCATCATTATAAAAGATAAATGTAATATTCTGGATTAAGTATTAATAATTGTTTATTCTATTTTACATTACAACTTTTAATAGATCAGAACAATAAAATATGCATAAAGATTTAATTTTAAACTTTCAATTAAATAACAGTCTGTCTTTTGGGAATGTTGACAATTTTAAAATAATTATTCTAATATCTTGAAGAACAATAAATTTTTTAAGTACAATTGTATTTTATGAAAAATAATTAGACTGATTAGTTTTCGTAAAATATAGGCCTATTCATTTGGATTATTGTTAGCCTATATACAGTATGTGTATAACTTATATCTATCAAAATGATAAGAATAAGATTTAGAAAAATAGATAAAAACGAATCATTGAAATAAGCATTTTCATCATTACGTGAATATTTACAACTCAATTTGTCAGTAAAAATTATATTTCAGTTTAATTTGTAAAAACGGGACAAAATATTTCTTCTTTTTTAACTTTAATACAAACAATTTAAAGCGGTAGTTTACAAATACATAAATTTATATTAATTAATATAGCCCAACATTAAATTTTATATATGCCTAATAAAATTCCTGTATAATCTTATTACTTCTATTTTTTAAATAACCCTTCTATTGTGATATTAGTATTGTGTTGATTTGTATTGTATTTATTAGATCGTGAAACTTAACCACATCGTTTATTTAATATTAATACTAATTTGTCAAATAGTTTCAAATAATAGAATCATTATCGAGATTAAAATTTTTTAAAACTTAGTTTTTCAATAAATTATTTAAAACAGTTTAATAAATTATAATATAATGCATATATTCTATTTTACTATAATACTTTTCATAGATTTTTATCGTATGTATACTTCAAATCAAAAATATAGTAAAATATATTTATAACTAGAAAACAATGAGAAATATTTACTGTTCTAATTATAGTAATTCACATAAATTTGACTTTTTCAAATCTACTAGATAAGAATCATAAGAGTCATACATATAAGCTACACGAGCCATTCAATTAAAATGATTACTCTAATAATTTAAAAAAAAAAACAATATTTTTTAACTATCTCAAATAGCAAACTTTATCAAATAGCCAATTCGATTTTTATATTAAATAATATAAGATTTAAATTATATTATTAAATATAGGCTAAACGTTAAAAAAATTACAATTTTAATTACTATTTTTACAAATTATTTTACGTTTATTTTGTTATTCCTTCTCGATGAAGGATTACTGGTCTTACGATTTTATAACATTATGAGTGTGAATAAAATTTTTTTAATGTTTTTTTATTTAAATTTTTCGTTAATTCTAATAAATAACTGATTTTACTAAAATTATGAAAACGAAAATATTTGTTAAATTTCAACTGATTATATAAATTATAATAAAATTTATCATTAAAAGAAAAAAAGAAAATACGTATTTTTAATTAATTTTGACACATTATGTTACAAATTAAATCAATTAAAAAGTTTACATTAATCTAGTTTTGTTGTGTAAACAATAACTAAAATTATTATAGTTCAATCTTTAATTAAAATAGCATTTAAAAATAATTAATTTATAATAGTCTTTTATCTCTAATTCTAAACTTTAGTCAACTTAGAATTTAAACCTCACAAATTAAAAAATCAATTTATAATTATTTTGATTTCTCTAATCTCATAAAAATGTTGGCTTTTAACAAAGCCTGAAAAAATTAATATATTAATTGTATATACAACACATCATTTTAAGTATTCTATTTATTTTTCTGGTATTATTTTTATTAATAACATAGAGAAAAAACAAAACTGTTTAAACTATCGTTCGTCGAATTCTGCACGAATATGAAATTAATAATAATCATTATAATAAATCAGACAGAAAATATAGTATAACGAACTATAAAATCCTTTATTTCCTAATCTCTTAGTGAATCTACAAGTAAAATTTACAAATGAACCACTGATTTAATTATAAATAGGCTTACTAAAGTTAACACATTTTAACTGTTTAGAGAAAGAAAGTAAATACTTGAGCTAAACTTTGCTAAACAACATGAGATCTTAAGTTTTGAAACTATTCTTTAGATTTATTACATTTGCTGAGGAATGATGCTTAAATTGTCCTAATAGACTATAAATAATATTTAAATGAGCATGGAGTATTCTCATTAATGTAACATTATAAAAACATCTGTAAATAAGTAATTCAATTTCTCTAATCATTATCTTTAGAGGAGAAATAAAATTCAATGCGCGATGAGAGATTTTATGTTAAACAGTTTGATTCTATGAAAAAAATAAAGTCTTAATACATTCCTTTTAATAAGATTAAAATTAAAAAAAACTGGAAAATATTTGTATTTTTACGATTTATATTGAAGTAAACATTCTCATTTAGATCAACCTGATAAAATTCAAATATATTGTACCGACGCACTTTAAGCAATGCTTTACAAGCTTTTCTGCTGTAGAATAAATGAAGAAGGTGGTTAATTTAATGTGACGGGTTTATCTTCTAGAAACAGATGCAACTGTGATGAATAACTTTTTTCCCCTTTTCTCATACACGATTTCATCGAATATTTTTATCAAACAAGCTTTAAAATATAGATATGAAATTTTCGTGATCAACAATTTGAAAGCAACTAATTTTATGATAAGCTAACATTTGATTATTTTCATTATAAATTACTAAATCCATATCTGATTTACTATTTTTTGGTTATATGAATAATCCCGAATCGAAAATTATAACTTAAATCGTTTGGTATTTAAATACTTGTAATGATCGGAATTATTTTATTTTTAATTTCTTTAAAGGCACAGTATTAGATTATTAGATAACTAGTACCTGTTGTCAGAACTCAGCTAAACTTACCATAGGCAAAATACAATTATTCCGAAGTAAAGCAGTTGAGAAAAGCCATCTACACCCACCATCCATCACTATTTGAGCAGAATGGTGCGGATATGGGTTGTTTATACAGCTCACAGGGATGACATCATGTATAAATTTATGCATATATTCCAAAATATAGGACAAATTCACAACACAGTATCACGTTAAAATTTAAATAATTTAGTAACATACCTGCGGTAAAGATTGTGGATGAGGAGGAGGGGGCTGATGAGGAACACCACCGCCCGGTGGTTGTTGTGGTTGTTGTTGCTGTTGATGTTGTTGATGCTGCAGATGCTGTTGATGTTGTTGTTGTTGTTGTTGATGCTGTTGCTGTTGTTGTTGCTGCTGCTGTTGCTGCTGCTGTTGTTGCTGTTGTTGAAGTTGAGAGGGTGATGGGACGTCCTTGTTACCGGGAGATGGTGAGGAATGACTATTATTGGTGAGCATGGGGATAGGAGGGCTCGGTCGCATGGGCAAGGCTGGCTGTGATAAGTTGACGGGTCCTCCCGCCCTGCTGACGGCATTCATGGGGTTCATGGGGTGGTTCGGGTGATTTGGTGTTAAGGCGGGCACGAGTGGTGTCTGAAACATAGCTGGAAAAAATACATATACATGAGATTTTCTTTATAAATCAAATCTAATATTAAATATAGTCTATAAATTTTTCCATTGTATGTTACAAAAATGCTACTAAATGGTAAATGTGTGAACATTTTTAAACCAATAATTTATTTCAATGATTATTTGAAATAAAATTTGTAATATTACTATTAAATGTAAGCTTTAAAATATATATAAATCATAAAAACTTTTATTTAACTAATACCTATATCTTAAAAATTAGATAAAATAGCTAATGATTTTATTGTTTTTAACATACTATTGGTTTATATTTTAGTCTACAGTATTTCATATAGCTATAGGATAATATATAGGCATATATAGGCCTACATTCAATTAAATTCTTTGAAATAATTGCGAATATAAATGTAAATGTTTTAATCAATAAATAAGTGGATTCAGGTCAATATAAAATGGAAATTTTAAATTAATTCAATAAAATTGGTATATGAAATTAATAATAGTCGCTGTTTTATCAATTAAAAACTATAAATCCTAAAAAATAATAAATATTCTTAATTTTTGATGGTTTATCTTAATATCTCTGAACTGACAGAGCTTAATTTACATAAAAAATTTAATAAAGCAAATTCATATAAAAAAAACAATCTTTTGATATTATTGTGAAGACCCAACCGAGGTCCGAATCATGTAAATCGCGATATTCCTATGATTAAATAATAACGATAGATTAATTATGAGAGGGAGAGGAAAATCCCATAATTTAAACAACGCGGCACAAAATGTAGACAACGAGTCTCGGATTACTCGAACACGTGTTAAACGAACTNCATAATTTACATAAAAAATTTACATAAAGAATTCAAATAAAAATAATCTAATACAACATATTTTTAGATTATTTTTGATCTATTAGGTTGTAAAAAATCAAACTGTTTTATGACTATATTATTTGCTTCGGTGTAGAAGATTCCATATTTCTCTTAGAATATTCATTTAATAAAGCCATATATTTGTTGGAAAGACTCAAAAGAAACTATAATGCATGGAAAGGGTTTACACATTATATAGCGAACTTCTGAATACAATAATTTTATTGTTTCTGTTACATATAAATTTTGCACTGATCTATGTAGATCGTTCCATGTTACTTTATTTATGCCTCTGTGCCATAAATTATATATTATCCTTTCATTATTTCATAGAAATAAAAACGATAGTTATTATTGAATATCTGCAAATTACTTTAATCATATTTCAGTTTATAAGAAAGTTAATTAAATTATGTTCAAATGAATTTAAAAACGTTTAATACTTTGTTCATTTTAAAAGTTTGTGCATAGATAAGCATTAGATAAAAAGTTTAAAATTGTTCTCTAACTTCATATGGAAACAGCCAAGTTAATATCTTGATCTTGAAAATGATCTTGAAAATTATTTTCATATCAAACTAATTTATTTATTTTAAGTTTAATATGCTTAACGGTTTCCCCCAAGAAATAGTAATGTTCGTTTAAGTTTATGAGACATTACAACAAAAATGGAAAACCTTCAGAACAAATAGAAAATTAAATAGTTAACAGCAGTAGTAAGAATTTAAACGAATTGAAAATATTTAAAATTATTTGGCAATATTAACCTCAAATCGAAACTTAATTTATATTATTTAACCGAAAAAAATTAATTAAAATAGTAGTATTAGAAAACTTTAACTTCTATCATTCGTACGTATCTTATAATCATGACAGCTCATAATGTCGATGTAAGACTTCGTTATAATGTCACTGGAGACTATATTTCATATTAGGTCTACACGATATGTCTTATGGAGAACAAAAGAAAGCAAAATTTTACTTCCATATAATGTATATTTAAGTTAATGAAATTTTCTTTTAAGAATTTCTAATGACTAATCATAAGAGGAATAACATTGCAGGTAGGCCTACAGCAACTTATGAAATCAGTTAGTTCTATTTTGCTTCTTTATGAAATGTTCTAACTTTTAAAATTATATATAATTCTTATTAAAAATATAACAAAGCCTGATATTAGTGAATAAAAGTTCTGGAACCTTTCATACAATTATAAAATCTTTGTTAATTCTAATTAATAAAGTATAAATAATTTTTAGTCTCTGAAGAAAAGCTGATGTTATTTTGAAATAAAGTGTGAAAGCGTTATTTTCTACTATTGAAGATAATGGGATTTTTAGAATGAATCTCAATTTCTAATGTTTTTCGCAACTTATAACATTTGTAACTTATAACTTGGAGTCACTTATAACACTTGTAACTTATAACTATAACAACTTATAACTTGGAGTCAAACTTTTAGATACATATTGCAAAAGGCCTGGATTTTCATGAGAGAATCAATGACGATTTTGATGAATAACATCATTAAAAATTAAATGTATAAACAGTAAACCTTTTCAATTTTCTTTGTAACTGAACCAATCTTAACTTTATATTTTAATATGAATTTTGTAAACAGTATAATTCTTGTACTTTATTGCCATTGACAAAAATTTTGAAAAATATATGTTATACAATGTTATTAAGTTTTGATTTCGTTAAAACTGTTTTAAAAATTAGTTGTAATGAGAATTCGAATTAATTATTTTTGAAGCTCCTGAGTTATTAAGTATTCAAATTCGTTTCAACGAGTTTCGTAGTCTAACCAGAAGCTTAGAAAAACTCGAGCAAAACAATGAAAATGTTACAGTTAAGTTTTAGTTTAGTGGCATAGTATAGTACAAGTAGTGTCTTGCTATTGATAATTTGTTCAAAATCCAATGTATCTCTAATTTTATTATTTCAAATTATGTTTTTGTAGGAAAACTGATGATGATAGTTAAAATTGATATAATAAAATATATTATTCCTCTACAAAATCTAAATAATGTTTACAGCATTGTTATAAATATATAATGCGATTAAAAATTAAAACTATGCGTAAAAATTTAAAAATATTCTACGGTTTGTTCTATTGCAATAATTTTTCTTAGTATATCATGTAACACGGCAAACGAAGCATTAATACCTATAAACAAGATGTCGCCACACAGTGAAAATAAGTTAAAACTGAAAATAATAACTGATAAATGCAAATATTGATATAAAATTACATCAGACGATGAAATATGATTTACGAAAGTAACAGTAAATATCAGGTCATATGTGTAACTCTTGCATTTGTTAACTATTCTCATTCAGTATAAACCGAATAATAATCGTCATTTCGCGAAATTTTTAAATTTCTATCTCCATTAGCTTAGATGCTTAAACAGACAAGTTCGAAATGTTTTTAAACATTACTGAAAGCAAAAATTTCCGTGGTATTTATCATTTAAAGATGATAGTTTCGATATAAATATAAAACTTTTGTGCCTACCTATTACTATTTTATGCAAATTAACAACCAAATTCAATTTTCAGTAGTGTCATTTCATTGAAACAGTTTATCGAGAAATTTGCTAAATTTGATAGTTTATTTTAAATTCTTTTAAGAAAAAGAAATATATCTTGTATCATGATATTTTAATATATAACAGAAATTGTAGATAAGACTATTTGAATTTCTTCGTGATCCTGGCATGATTCGAGTTGGTTCTAGCTTTTATCGTTTTTCGATTGCAAAATAAGTAATTATAATTATAAATAGATCTGTTACAATAGATTTTGATTGAAATCCGAACTTCTAGATTTGTCAAATTTTTACAATTCAAACGTTTTCCCAAATTAAACAAAAAAAATCAATGAAATGATTATTGCATATGTTAATTGTAGCATTACTATAGTTCAAGTGATTAATTTCATATATAAATTATCGTTTCTAATTCAAAATTGAAGTAATAAATTATATTTTTATCAATGATAAGTTACCTGTCATGGAACTAGTCAAAAATCATTGCTAATTCCTCAAACGAAATTTTTTCATATATTATATTCTTTAATTCGGAATAAATATCGCAAATACATTTTGTATATTACTCTGTTGAGTAGTATTGATATTACAAAATTAATTTAATCGGACGGATGTTCTAATAAACAAAAATATGCATGCGAAAAATAATTTATTATGTAATAAATTTTATATTCAAAATTATCTGTGAAATAACGCAAAAGTTCTACGATACATAAAAACATAACTTTAATTTAAATATTATCAAAAATATTTATTGTAAATTAGTTCAGATACTGTAAATATTTCCTATTGTATTTCAAATAATCTGAGTATGTATTAGTAATTTATATTGATATTAATTGTTTGATAAATTTTAAATTATATTTTTTTCAATTTCATTAATCCATGACTATTGAATATTTTTTTGCAGACGTTTTCGTTTCTCTTTTAGCATAATATGAATTGTATTAATGATTTTTTTGTGATTTAAAACAAAATTAAAATCGCTGTCAGTAACTGTCACAATAAGGTCTTCCCATCTTTTTTATTTTGCATTGCACTGTGTAAAAGTATACTTATATTTGCATTTTAATAAAGAAACATGTATAACATGCATCGTAATCGAAGCTATAATTTCTTATTGTCACTCTAAGAATAGAAATTTATGAGTAAATGCTAATATGAATAAAATCCGAAATGTAAATAGTTTAGAAAACGATTTTCAGCAGAAAACTAAATATTAATAATTGAATATTCGTAAAATTTTACGGTAGATCTATTTAAAATATTCACGCATAATAGAATTGTACTACTGCTATTTGTGAGTACTTTTCAACACGACACGCATTCACAAATAGTAGGGCCTATTACAACTACTAGTTGAGAGTGCATGCAATGTTTGATGTAGTGCAGTAAAATATTTTCGGATTCATTCAGTGTTGATTCTTTTTATATGACTATTTCAAAAGATTATTTTCTTTTAAATTAGTCCATTTTGATAGAGAAATATTTTCTGCTGGAGAAAATAATTTATATAGGTTAAAATATAAAGAAAATAATTCGTAACAATCTTAATAATTCTTATAATTCAATCATGGAAATACGT